GCATTCAGCCAACATTGAGATCAATGGTTTCCTGTGTTTTATTAGCACAGCAGTTTCAGCTGGTCCTGTAATCTCACATTTCTTTTTATAACTATTTTATAAGGAGAAGGACCCAGTTATACCAGTTCAGGTTTCTCTGATGCAGTGCTCTAATGCTTGCTCTCATTGTAACAAATTTGCCTTGACTGTCCATCTGCTGTGCTTCCCAAGCCTCTGCCATGTCTCCCTGGCACACCTGCATTTGTGCCAAAAGTTCTGCAGGCACTTAGGTAGCTGTATCTTTTTGACCATGTTTCCCTCCTTGTATCCAGATGTGTACACAAAAGTGCACAATCCAATGTTTGCTTGGTATTTCTGAGCCAACACAAGCTGAGATTACAAGGTGGTTCCACCTCTCCGTGCAGGACTGCTCTAGGCACTGAAACCTGCCAAGCCGGAGCTGTGTCCCCCTCCCATGTAGGGGACAGAGCAGGGCTGGTGCAGGGACATGGAAAAGGGAGTGCAATGGGAGAGTGGGTGGCAGCTGCTGCGGGGTGATTAGGACAGCTTGTGCTACCTGATACAGGGAGCCAGGTGGTTTCTGTTGTTGCCAGTAAGGGTGGGGATAAAAGGTGGGCAGCAGAGAGGGGCCATCGTGTCCCTGCATCCATTGCCCCAGGTAGCCCAGCTGTAGCAAGAAGACTTCAGCCCTTGGGGCCTTGTGCTTCAAATATTTGCTGCTTCTCCAGACCAGAAAAATACAGGTGAGCAGAGCTTGAAGGCTTTCTTCAAGACCAAAGGCTGAGGTGACTCTGGTCCTGCTCTGGGTACCTGGTGAGTGGTCTGTGCCACTGTGGTCTGCTCTGCTGCTGAACTGGTAGCACCAGGAGATGTATGGGAGCATCCACCACATTTGTGCCTTTGTCTCCATGCAGGAGCCCTGCCATTATTGTAGTGCAGGAATGAGTTCAGGGGAGGGTTCTTCAGATTCTCAGTTGGGGTGATAATGCTTAAGTGCTTGCTGTGAATTCAGGATTGGCAAAAACCTGTTGTAGGGAGGAATGGCTTGGTTTGTCCATATTATGATAACTTCCAATTATTTTGTTGAATGTATAAATGAGGGTAGGTCTTTAGGATTCTGCAGGTCAAAACATTAATTTTAACTGGACTAGAAATACATAAAGGTAATTGTGAAAAATATTATTTGTAAATTAGTTCAAAATAAATGTGTAGTTTAGCCATAGTAAATAATTCAGTGTAACAGCCTTCCTTACCGGCCTGTTCTAAGCAGTTTCAGGATTTCCCCTTTATTACCTCTTCAAATTTATTGGTTAAGAGGTCAGAACAAGGGTTTTTTTAGAAACAAGCAAAAATGTCTCAGTAATCTTTCAAATTCAGAGGTATTTTCTTGATTTTTATTGCATTCAATGAATTCTGCAAACTAGCTATTTTAAGAAAAGTCAGGAATGGGATTAAGATTAAAAAAGACAGCTCTAGTAGTTCTAAAATCTGGAAAAATAATCAATTTGTGAACTTGAGATAGTAATTACTTTCATAAATTTCATCTACAAATAAGACGTCTGTTCCACTTTGTGCCCTACGTGCTTCAGGGGGTTTTATCTAAGTAAATAAAATCAGTTTCGCTTTGATGCTTTTGTGGACCTACTCTGCCTTCACTTACCTCTCTTAATGCAATGTTGATAGGAATATCAATTGAAAGTGTGTTCATTTAGAACATTACAACTGAGTAATTTTCCATGTGTAATAAGGAATTTGGGTAAGTGTGTATTATATGTGACTAATTAGTGGTGCAGTTTATCTGCCTCTTTAGCAAACAAAGGCTCATGTTACAGCAACCCTTCTGCAGAGAATAACAATCAAGATTTCTGCTTAAATGATTTTCATTTTTTAGCATCTGTTCACTTCTAGAACACAAATCAACACCACTGCTTTCTCCTCTGATACGTCTTGTTTGAATCCTTTTAATCTGAAGAGAAAAATGGAGGCATGGCATTATTTTTGAGCCTGCATGTGCTTTGCTCTTGATGTAAAACAGTGAAACTCACAGACTGCAAGCTTTCGATACACAGACATTGCCCCTGGCTGTGCAAGAAGATATTTAGATGGGCAGATCATGAAGAAAATTTGTGGTCTTTTAAGGAAAGATTATACTGGGTAAAAATGAATTTGAAAATTGAAGCTTGCTATGGTTTCTTTCTTAAATCTAATAGATGCCTGGGTAAAGGGAATTACTCATAAGAAGGAAGTCATAAAACTGGTTTGAATTAGATTTCAAAGGCGAGGGTTATGTTGGTCATTTAAAGCCTTGGATTTCTCACCACCACCAGAGTCAATAAATAGCAATCTAACACAAGGTTCTGGCAAAGTATGGTCTGCTATGCAAAGGGCCTTTTGCAAGTTAAAACTGAGTGATTTGGGATCATATTTAGCATCTGTGGCTTGTGCTGGAGTAGTACGTGGGAGGAGATGGCTTGTTCTCACCAGCATGGGATGCTTGGAGATCCCGTTGAAATGGAGCCATTATTTTATTTATGCATGTTTTGACTTGGCTTTCAACTCCAAGTTGGAAAATGTAGGTCAGCTGCAGCAGTGAGGCTTTGGGTTCTGAAAAAAGATTGCCAGTCCTGTCCCAGTGCCTCTTTCCAGTACCCTTTGGGCTTCATTACCAGTCTGCTTGCTGGCTTCCTTCAGCACAGAGACTATTAGCCATCTGACACTCGTTTGCCCAGGGGCAGCGTGTTTGCTCAGTAATGAAGGAAATGGGTACCAAGTACATTACATCTTTCCAAAGCTGTTACAATTTCCCTACCACTACCATCTTTACTGTTAATGTGAATATTTGATACCAACAATATCACGGTAGACTTAGTAAGATTTTGAATTCCAACTGGATGTGGTTACTTCCAGGATGCTACCAGGCAGTGTCTTAAGACATTTCTACCTGAATGATGGAAGAGGAGACTGCTAATGAGATTATGAAGTAAAATATTGGCAAACAACATTCTCTCTCATGGAGACTGGGGAAGGAGGAGAGCAATTTATGCAAAATAAATAGCGACTTTTTTTTTACATATTAATTATGGATTAAAATTTGTAGTTTAAGCAGCGGGATTTAATTTCTTAGCTGAATCAGATTTTATAGTTAAAGTCTATGAAATAAACTTCATTTGGGATAAATATTCAAAGCACAATTATTGCAAGAATTCAAACCAGTAGTGGGAAGGGGAAAAGGAATGGGGAGAAGTAGGAGCAACTCTCTGTAAGGCTCTGAGACTAGGACATGTGTATTCAGTGAAGGGTTTTGTTTAGGTTTTGTTGGGTTTTTTTTCAGTCAGTAATATACACCTCCTCTTCTGAGAAGTCAGGGATCTCTGACAGACAATCAGGATTGCCAAATGAAAATATATAATCTGTAGCACCCACCTTCTATTAAATTGCTTTGACATCAAAGGGCTTTCACTGAGGATAAGTTTTCTTACGTTTTGTATGGTCTGCAGTTCATTTTGGTTCTTGAATTCTTCATAGGGCTGTCTGCTATGCAGCTATTTATTGCCTTGGTAAAGAGTGGGGGCTTTTTGCTTAGAAAACATTTGCACAATGGTGATGCCTATTAAACATAAAATGCTTCTTAGATATCCACTGGAAAGAATAACCATGAATAAAAAATGAACCACTTAAATCAATACTATTACTTCTCATTCTCTGCTTTCTTAATCTTGCCTGTTGTTTTTATTCTCATTGTTAGCTTTTCATGATGGTGGAGTTTTCTTTTGAAAAGAGGCAATGTGGCCCTGTTATTCTCCATTGCTTTGTTTCATCTGCAGCTCACAATAATGTAATAGGGGACGTTGGGAGTTATAATTTCAGAACTGGGCATGCAGGCAGTTTGTCTTTAAAACATAACTTTTTTTCTCCCCCTTGCTACTACTTGGGGTTTTTTGTCATATCATCTCTTCTATTTTATTGTGTTTTATTATTTCATTTTATGGTATCTTACATAGTCTGTGAACACAAAGTAAATTGATGGCTTCTGAATCAGAGGCTATTACAGCATTTTCCTGATTAGATGATGTTTCCTTGCCCTCACTCAGATAAATCTTAAATAATCTAATGCTCTTTAGGTGGAAGTACAGTTTTAATAAAACTTACCCTGAGTTAAATTCCTGGAGGTTTTTGTCTTTCTAACAGCAGTCCTCATTGGGGTTATTAATGTCAAGTTATTAACTTTAAGATGTTCACTAAGGCCAAGTTTCATTCACTTCTCTTCAGTTTACTTTCAGTGTTTTAAATAAAATAGCATCATTAGATCTTTGTCACATCTGGACTTGTCTCTTATGTGTGGAGGATAGAGGTGATTTACTGTCTTAATTCCAAAGTCCCAAATTTTATGCTAAGTACAGTGGCCAGTGTTCAGTGCAGCTGATAGACCATCCTCAGAGGAAGGCTGGTTTGGTAATAACAGAGGATGAAGGTGGTAACGAGAGTCACTGGGCTGGAGGAATGGGCAGGTGTTAATGCTGGGCAAAGAATAACAAAGTTAATAATGGCTAGAGAGAGACCCTTCAGCGCTGACTTCTATTCAGACAAATTCTGTTCCCCTATTCCTTTTGCAATCACAAAACTTCATTCTAATTCAGTGCATTCTCTTCCCCTTGGTTGTTAGCATGGAGGTGGTCACAGCTGGTGGTGGCATCGAGCCCATGCACTGTACAGAGTCAGGGGAGGCTGCACTTCATTGCTGCTGTGCCCAGGCCCATTTAATAAAGTTTATGGGCATGCAGCAGCAGTGTGTACATTTTATGGTGATGACAGAGCCTCTTAGGCTTTAAATGCACTTTATTTCCAGCACCAGGACAGGGTTTTCATGCAGCTTGATGCTGTGTCTAAGGTTTACCTCAGCATTTCCATTATAAGCCCCTGGTTTCCAGGTATGGTACTGTGCAGCAGCCTGGTTACAGTAGACTTATTGGGAAATAATTTTGTCAAGATTAAGAAAAGTTATGTAGAGTAAAAATATTGAAAGGGAAGGAAGCCTCCGTATGTGTGATTAAAATGGTTTTATCTGGAGTTTGAGGTGTTTGGAATAAGAGGCAGTCTGTAGTGGAGTGGGAACGTGGAGTGGGTTAAAGGTAAAGTGGGACAGCATTTTTCCTTAGGTGAGGACTGTGAAGTTGCTGGCACTGACCTGGAGTAGTAAACACAAATGTTAGCAAGGCTCCTGCAGTGAGCAGGGGCTGGAGTGACTGTAAATGCTGTTCTGCTGGAGTTCACCATCCCCATGTGCCAGGAGCTGTTCCAGCCACAGGATCTGCCTGCAGAGCTGCATTACCATTTCCATTAGATAGGATTGCTGATTACTTCTGGCTCACTTTATTTGGCTATTCATGCTGGAATGGTGTCTTCTGTTTCTTGGGAATTTGTCTCTAGTTTGGGAGGGAAACTCTTGAATCTCTACTGGTGGCATATTGGTGACTTGTAATAAACTTTTCTGTGCCTGTGAACCATGTGCTTGACTAAAATAGAAGAGGAAATTAGTGGGACATCTGGCCTTTGTAAGGGTCAGACTTTCATTTTTACTTTCTTGACTAGAGTTTCATGAATTCTAAGTTAATCTGAGTTGAGTGACCTTTTGACTGGGGTAAAGGCCTATCTTGCTTTCTTTTTCTTTTCCCTATTTAAAAAGGTTTCACGTCCTGGATCTGTGAAATTGTAATTCTGTGTGTGTAAGATAGTCATTCCTTGCTCATACGCTCAGATCTAAACACACAATAGTTGGAGGCAGTTTTTGGTGTTAATTAGTGGAAAAGGAAGACTTGAGTTAATCAGCTCTTAGTGAATGAAATCTTAATGGTTGTATCGACAGACTTCCAGTGCTGGCCTTGTGGACTGTTGGAGGAATTCAGCAGTATGCAGTAATATTCACTACCAAAATGAAAGTCTGTTAACAAAGAAGTACTGTCTTTTATGACTTCAATTCTAAGTCATCTGTAGATCAATTTTTAATGTCATCTTTTTAATGTAAATTAAATGAATAGTTGATTTAGAACTAATAAAGCAAACGATATATCAGATTTTTAGAGTGAGAAGGGATTTCTGGCACTAATGTTAAACAGGCTTACATGTTACTCAGCCTCCAACTTTAGTCTGCCAATCAGACTTTGTTTTTCACATAGTTTCTTAATAGCTTGCACATTCAGAGAATGCTTTTTACAAGAAACTGTAAAAATATCAAATAGAGGTGATTCATCAAGATCCATTCTGATTATTTACAAAGGCAATATGTGTGGCTATGTATGTGCATATTTATCTGTGTGTTTATGTGTATGTTTTAAACCCTCAGGCCTTACCCATGCACAGAATATAATCACACTGTGGTTTTTTGGCCGCATTTGTGGCCAAGAAATGGACTGTTTATTCTCCTTTTATGTCTATTTATGGACTTAAAAGGAAAACAGATAGATGCAAGCAAGATTGACATTTGGGATTATAAGGAATTGCAATACTCTCTGCCAGAGTTAAAGTAATCTTTTTCAAATTATGCAAAATTCACAAGTCTTACATTAGAGTTGAAGTAGGCAGGATTTGAAATTACTGCACATCTAGATGTGTAAGACTCGGTTCAATGCAGAAGGGCTTATTTTACAGGACTCACTTGGGACTTTAGTAGTTCACCTTAAGTTTCCTATTCTGCCTAGTTCTTCAAGTTGATTTCTGATACGGATTTTTAAATTTTTTTTTAATGGTCACCATCTTACAAAGTAAGGAAGCTTGATCTCAGCTCTCCAGAGTGCCATGAAGATAAATTGGAACATGTTTGTGGATGAACACCAGGTTTCTGCTCCTGGCTTTAGCCTTGGGCTATCGTGATAACCAGTCAGGTGGGGAGAAACACTTGCAGAAAGTGACACCTTTTGTATATATATTTCCATGTTGCTACCAGCTATAACAAGAAAGTGTTATAAATTCAGTTTATGAACTCGTGTGTGTGTAGGCTTGCAAGGGGAGCCCTCCTGCAAGCTGACTACCAGCACAGGTGCATGTTCCTACATACACAGTGCAAAGCACTACAAAAAAGCTCTGGAAACTTGAAAAAACACTGGTGTCTAATGAGAAGTCTCGTGCTGATTTAAACCTATATTTGATTTGAATTTATTTAAATAACTGTGAGAATATGTGCTACCAAAGCCACTTTTCTCAAGACCTAATTGCTTTCAAGTCTTGAAGAACTCATCTTGTGCATGCACGTCTGCAATTCTAAACAGCTTTAAGATAAATGTAGATTAATGAAATGTCTTGAGAGTACTTGCCTATACATGCACTTAAGCTAAATGGTTGAATAACTGATTATATGAATGTTTCATTACAGAGAGACAGAGGAGAGTCTAAAGTTTTTAATTTAAATTAAGAAGGCTGGAACTGACTTTCATATGTGTCCAAATTGTATTCATGTGTCTCCTTGCTAGGAGTCTGCCACTCATTTACAGTCTGATCTCATCCCTCTCCAACGGGAGCAGATGGGGATTCTTGAACTTGGCCCAAATTCCTAGAAAGTCTCTGCACTGACATTTTGTAAAGGTGTGAGAAGAACTGGCAATTTGGATGGCAGAGGGTGCAGTAACAGAGAATGGTACAAGGATGAAGCAGAAACACTTCCCTGCACATCATTCAACACTGTGGCAATGACTGTGAATATAAAATATCTCAGTGTGGCAGAATAAATGCTCCTCTCTTGCCATCTAGGTGACGTCTGACATGGATATTCTTTGCTTGATTGTTATGCTTCCCATCACCCCCTCCTCTTCCCCCCCGTTAATTAACTCAAAATTATCATTCGTAATGACATTTCCAAATTGTAACATCCTGATACTTGATGCTTTCCCTCTCCCCTCACTTGTTCAGTTTTCTATGGGAATTTTGGCTATTTTGTGGATATTTTGAGGGCCTTGCTGAAGATAGATCTGAAAGCCACATGTAGATATTTCCTATTCCTCTTTCCCTGGCACATGCCTGCCTGTTTCCTTGGGGTTCCTAACACTGTTGCTTCCCTCTGGGGGAACCTGGGAAGGAGGGCTCAGATCCCAGGGGATTTTGAACAAGAGCATGACTGGTTCTGCTACCCATTGTTATCTAATGGAACAAGCAGAGATGAGTGCGTGTATTACTGGAAATAAAATAGAGGGGGAAAATTTGGGTTGTTATATTTAGTTACAATAACTTTAACATTTTCCACATGGAAACATGATTGTGCCTTTTTGTAACAGGCAATTCTCCCTTGCAAGTCAGACTGGTAATCCCGTTTGCCCACAGCTTTTCTCACTGAGTTCTTGTTTGCTTCTTCAGGGCTTGGAGATTTTGTGAGCAATCTTACAAGTTGATTATTCATAATTTAAAGCAAAACATTAAAGATAACAGTGAGTGCTTCTGGTGGAGTAACTTCTAAATACAAAATCCTCTCGCTTCTCTCAAAACATTAAATATTCACACAAGGAAAAGTCTGGAAGCTCTTCCTGAAAATGTGTGACTTCAGCCTCCGTGCCAGCAAGACTTGTGTTAGAATGAAATTGCCATATTGTGTCTGACTACAGTTGTCTCTGTATTTATTAGATGTCTGCTTGCGTGGTAGGCTTTTCAAAGGAGAGCTGAGCACATCTTTTGTTAATTAGTAGCATTTAATTAGTAGCATTATTTTAATATGTGGTAAATCTGTGTCTCAGCATAAAATTGCACACTAAGCTGAATTACTGCTTTGCAAATAATTCTAAGATTGTGAACTTAAATTCGTTCCTCTTTTTCTTAAAATTTCAATTTATCAGTTATTTGTTCCACTGTTCCAACACAATAGTCAGATATTGTTAATTCAGGTATTTTAAGTGTCTAGGACTGGGTGACAGCATGTAACAGAAGATTGAAGCAGGAAAGGGAATCACTGCTGGTGAGTGATTAGATGGATGCTACTTTTCAGTACCTAGCAAGAAAACTGGCAGATGTGTAGGCTGCAAAGCTGATATCTTTAATGCAGGCTGTTGGAGTTATTATCTGTCATACCCAACTCTGACAAGCACGGACTGGTATTGTGTGCAGCTCTTAGTGCAGGAGTCCTTTGCTGTCCCTCACTGCTTCCTTCCTTCTTTGTCTTTCTCTGTGACAAGATAGCCAGCACTGAGAGCAGATCATGTCAGCCACCCTGCAGATACGAACATACTGAGCCATCGTCTTCAGAAATTCCACTGCAGCTTCCAGGCCCCTCTGGCATCAGTGCAGTGCTGTGGTCTCCCCTTCAGGGTGCCCTATAAACCATGTGCAGTTTGTACCCAGCCCAAAGGCGCTCTGGTTCTGCAGGAAGCACGATGCCATTTGACACTGCTATGCAGCTGAAAGCCACACCACAGAAAATGCAAGGAATAGTCTGCCTTTCAAGCTCAATATTCAAGCAGCTGCTTTTGAGCAGCAAGCCTGCCAGTTCTCTGGATGCAATGGATAATAGTATCCCTTGCTGTTCAATCTCCTTCTGTGCAAGGAGCAGACCTCAGCTGACATTTCTCCTCAAGCTTTTTACCCCCATTTTCAGGCCTGCACATGTGTTTGTGGTTTACTTTTAAACTGTATGATACAGTTCCTATAGTGAATCTTAATTTACTTCTTGTCTGACAAAGGTCCTCTTGTCTGTTTTACTAGAAGCATATGCTGACATCCACTCAGTTATTTTCATCAAGTATTTGGCAGCATAATTATATATGAAGAGTTGTTCAGATCATACACCTGCTGAAAGATTTAGCCTACAGTATATATTTTTTCCTAGGTTTTGATCTACTCAATACTTGGAAGATAATACAAATATGGTTGAGGCCTAACTATCAGTACTCAAAATCTGCAATTTTTTATTTCAGTCTTAACTATTGGTTTTATATTTAGCTTACTTTATAAAAGCGAAAAACTATAACCCACACTTGCTAATGCATAGATTGTGTAAAGAATTTAGAAAGGCATAAAAAATTTCAAGTGCTAAATGAAACTTCACATTTTGGTGACTGTGAGGTTAATTGCTCACTCCTGAAAGTGTTCTGTCCCTCTTGGGTGGACTGGGCCTTAAGGGATCTCTGGACTAAAGGAGACTCCTTGGATCCTTGTCCTGTTGTTTTCTTCAATGGTAAATTGGGACCTAATAAGAAGAAATTACCTGGTATTTTCTTAACCTCCCATGGAGCATAGGTTTTAGTAGTAGCTGGTGAGTTGTTAGACTTTTCCTAACTCAGCCCTGGAAATCTCAGGGAAGGTTGGCCTTGGGCATTTTATGCAAGATTCAGGTAATGTTGCAGCTCTTGTACACCCAGTCCTGCCTATGCTCTATGGGATTCAGCTTAAATTGCTTTGTATGTAAAAGTCCTGAATCCCACATGGTGTCACTTGCTTTTTGTGAGCCAGTGCTGCAATAGCATCACTGTCTGTCTGGTTGCCTCGAGAGGGAGCAACATTCATGCTGTCTATCACAGTGAATATACCTGGAGAGTTTCTCTGATCAGTGTCCTCTTTTACTGTTGTCTGTGAGACTTGGCTTTTTTCTCTCTCCATTAACACAGATACAGAACAGGTGGATGTTTTTATGAAAAGGCTGTGGCATCTGTGTAGGTGCTTGTGAGCTGAGACTGAATCACAGAGTCTTTGGTGCTGTGTCCATCTTTGCTGTTGTCACAATCTGTATGTCACAGCACATGGAAAAGCAGCAGGCAGCAATGGACTGGGGCAGCCTTCTGACCTCTGAGGGGGTCGACCAATGCACTTTGTCTGTGATAAAGCCACTTCTAGTGATACAGATATTGAAGAGATCTGTGCTACCCCAGCTCCTACATCCTTTTTTGTCCCCTGCATTTGACCTTTTAAGGAATCAGTGGCTGACACCAAATAAACGCAATAGATAGGGAGGAGCTCTCAAATGAAATTACAGGCAAGACTTCTGTAATCAATGGAAGGACATGGCCATTTCCCCTTTCCATCAACTGGGACAGAGCTGGCTGTTGCAGCAGCTGGATGCTCTTGTACAAGGGGAGCAGTTGTTTTTATAGCAGCTGCCAAAGTGGAGCTGGTTGGGTCTTTGGGAGGGCATGAACTGGTGCAGGCCATGTCTGGCTTAACTGGGACAACTGTGCTTGTCACCTTTCCAAAAACAAGGGGAAGCATGTTGGGGAAGAGTGGGGAAGTCCTGTGCATGGGCAGCTGTGAGAGTTTGAGCTCAGGGATGGAAATCTGCCAGGGCAACTCCTGACCACAGTGGGTACAATGTCTCTTACGGGTCACAGGAGATACCCTGCCTGTCACTTGTACAGAAAGTGACAGAGCCGCTACAGATGCTTCTTGTTCAGTACTTTGGCCTTTTCTTGGTGAATATGCAATTTACTGGAGATTTTTAATGCTAACATCCAAATTGTTTAATTCAGTGATTCTCTGGTTTCTAAGAAAATGCTTTGGCAGTCTCCATCTCATTAATGCCTTTATTCAAAGTGGTGATCCGAGAAGGAGACTAATAATAGAATTTAACACTGTTGCTTTTGATTTGAGAACTGCATGAAGAATGGTGTCAAATTAAAATACTTAGTGTTTTGTGTGTTGCTCTTTGTAGTCTGAACCCTTTTTGTGACGAGTGGCATGAATTTTCTACAATTCTGGGAGAGCAAATGGCTATCTATTTCTAATTGCTACTGGTTAGGAATGTGATATGTGTGTAATGCAAGAGAGATTGATTAGACTCATTAATGACATGAAAATGAAAATGTTAGAGTATAAAAATAAGCAACATAGTCATTGTGTTTTTTATTACACTTTTGCCTTGGGTTTTGCATAATTAAAAAAGGATCTTACACACAAAAAGGAATCCTGCCCTGAA